TATAATAACTACATTAGTATAATATTGTTTTTATAAAAGTATGGTGTCGTAATTTATGTTATGAATAAAATAAACACAATCAGGCACCTAATACGTAACCATAGAGATATCTCCTTGGCGACAGGACTATCTCCTTCACGACAGAGCTGTCTCCAAGAAAAAATATCCGATATTTCCTTTATTCACTTATGATTTGATCTTATTTCAATCTTATTTCATCTCTAGACCTTATATCTACTTGAAACATATTTGTTTTTAATCTGAAACGCTGTTTAGATGAAAATTGAAGGAAAAATAATCTGTTTCATGATGAAACGGTCCATTTCAACACTGAACTCACTAACTGGGAAACGCCACCACAACTACATTTCAAACACAATTATTCTTGTCTTTAATGATAATTTGATATTGAAGAAACATTTGTTGTGTATTTACAAAGATGCATACTTTCCGAAATATTTCTGTTACTTTTTCAATTAATTTATTGCCAATACTTTATGAACTAATTGCATAAATAAATATAAAGTAGAAAAGTATTCGTACGCATGAACAATCTTAATCAAACCGAGTCTGCAACATTTTCAATTTTGCCGTTTTGGACGTTCTTTATTCATCTTTTTTTCTTTAATGAAAGCACTTTTAATTTATGATATTAAACATGTTTTGAGAACCAAACATAATTACATTCAATATAAAATAAAATACTACGATGCTGCAAGGAATACATTTTCTATAGTACTTATACCAATCCTCTTTAACTAAAATGCATTGCACTTCTATTGCACAGACAAACCCGGTGTTTATATAATTATCTTTTTTTTAATTGTGACGAATGTGTCTTGTTTTTTAATTTTTTTTAACGAAAATGTCACTGTTCCCCCGGAAAGTTTATTATGCCGAAATTCATACTTCTTAGAACAAAACAGATATTTAAACATGAAATATTTAATTGTAGATGTTAATTCAACAGAAAATGTAAATTTTTGTTGAACTAAGAAGTAATTTTGGATAGTTTAACAGAGGGGCACATACATTTCGTTTGTTTAATTGACCCTTTATTACTACATTTTATAACGTAAAAAATATTATTTCAACCAGAAGTTAAGGTCGTATTTTTCAGCTGAGAAATGCATTAATGTAGAAGAATGCTGAATTTACAAAATTTTTATGTTATCTAATAGTACAACATGTAGTTGTAAAGGAATGTGTAGCATCTTTAAACAGTTATCCCGTACCTCATCGTAGTGTCGGTATATTGACTCAAATATTTATAATATTCAGTATCAACGATTAAACTTGTGCTAGAGAAAGGCATGGGAATACAGCACTTATGCTATCTGTCAATATTATACGCAATATATATTTGAATTTACATCAATTTGCTGAACTTCTCCTTGCTCTCGGTATATCTCCTATTTTTAGATTTTATGTCCAATATAGATGTATACTCACTAATTTTCAGGTTACGTAAGAAAGTCACGATCATGGTGTAAATAGTAATTTGAAAGATGAAAATACGTCATAAAACTTATTTATAATTTCTTGCATTATAATTCAAAGGTCGGCAAATTCTATTTCTAGTATTTTGTCACAACGAATCAAAATGTATCGCCACTATCCAAACATTTTCTCTAAAATAGAAAGTAAACTGACTTAGATCTCATAAATGTCTGTAAATAAATACTAATTTGACAATCGTCATGTAATCGATAAAACATAGTATAATAATCATTTCCAAGATATTAACGTGAACAGTAGATTTAATTTAAATCTATTAAAAACATTTCGAGCAATCAAAATATATTGTTTTGATCAAATATTTATTTTGATGATGTATCGCCTGTATCCCAGCAATTTGTCTTAAATAGAAACAGACGTATCATTTGTGGTAAAGAAGTGTTTCCTACAATATTAGACCAGATAAATCCATGTTCTGACCTTTTCCAATATATAACAAAAACTCTAACCAAACAATCTGCATGTGTTACTTTGGTAAATAAGCCATTTATCAAAATTAAAAAATATATCTGTTTTACTGTTTTAAGGACAGATTTGTCCTAAAATCGCATGTTATAGATTTCGTAACAAGAGCCAGTCGAACCAGGTGATGCTCCCTGTTTTGGACATAGAAAAGTAGTTTATCCATAACGTGTGTATCTACCTACTTTGTTTCTTGTTGATACCTCTGATGGTTTCAGAATTATGTGCCGAACCAAGTTCAAAGTGTAAAAAGGAAAACGGGCAATTACTCCAAAATTAGGACAAGACAGAGTTACTGTTCTTGTGCACTGTATTTTCTAATCGATGATAAATATTATTCAACTTAGTTTTTCTTTGATACCTCTTATAGTTTCAGAGTTATGTCCCGGACAAAGTTCAAAGTGTAAACGTGAAAAAGGCAAATACTTCACAATTAGGCAGGCAGAGTATTCTTATGTTCTACACTTCCTTTCAATGATATCTAACTATCTACAAATTTATTTGTTGTTACCTCTTCTAGTTTTAGAGTTATGTCTATGAAAAATGCGGACGATTGGACATACATACGGGTTGACGGACAAAGCGGCGACTAAATGACTAAGACATAAAAATGCGGTTTTCTCCACTCGGATATTCATTTACTAAAACTAAAACTTGAAGATTACAAATTCCTTAATTCCTCCTAGATCCAAATTTCCTGTTGTTCCTTGATATAGCAGCTATAGACATTGAAAGGCTATTGAACAGGTTGTCAGTTCTTCTTTCATTATCGAACAAGTATAACAAATGTAAAACAATGAATACTGTTTTAAATATAGTGATTAAATTTGACAAGAAGTACATACCTTTCAAATTACTGCCAAACATGATTAATAGAATAATGGTAGTCATTATTCAAACCATGACATGTGAAAGAGTTGTTATTCTCTGATAGACGTAAATCGTTATATACAGCTTTCCAAAAGACGGCCATGCTTAACTTTAGATAATTTTGTATCATTAATCAAAAACATAAAATAAAGAAAAATAGCAATACTCTATTTCTTTAGTATCACTCTGTCGTGCTTGAATTGATGCAAATATATCTTGGAATATCCATTTCCTGCATGATTGCATTATAAAGGGTTTCCAGTTTGTTTTATTTACTCACTTTTATGATTATAATTATTACTACTACTTTTATTGCAAACATGACTTATCCATGTCATAAAATGCAAAACTACTTCGATCATTAAAATATTCTTCGGTTATTTTTTTTTATGTACTCTGCTTTAAGTCTAGTTCAGTCTTTGAAATTCAAGCGTTATATTGTCTTTACGGGGCAACCATTAAAATATTACGCGGCAGACGGCATACAACACCACGACTGTCGTTGCTCAATGACGTTATATCACTTCCCTTGTTTGTCTTGATATATTGAATGTATAATAAATGCCGTCGAGGACAGCGGAAAGACCGACAATTACGGCAAATTCAAATAAGCGTTTTTAATTAAAATATAGATAATGTATATATAAATACAAGTTTGTTCGAAAAAAATATTTTTAACGACATACTACTATCATATGCAACACGAAATCTGAAGTATGCATGTTACAGTTGATTTATAACGTGATCGCACGAACATGAATTTTAGAATAAAAATAGAAATAATAATAAAATAACAAACTATTAGTAACACTTCCTGTAGATAAAAGTAACGTAACAAACGTATAAGTTTAAAACAACATCGTCACAAAAAATATAAATAAAAAAATGAATGTTTTAAAATTCTAAAATACTCAACAATCCTGCTTGAAATACTTTTTCAATAACGATGGTAATTGCATGTTAATACTTACAGGATAAGCATTCGGACCTTGAAAGTAATCATTAAGTACTTTTTATTGTTTCACCTCCCTCGGCGAATTGTACCCCAGCGTATTAGTATGTACACGTAGGGTATTGTTCGTTATGGCAATTATTGTATTTTAGACCGCTATATCTCATGCTATTTATCTTACGTTTAATGTACACATGCAACACCCCACACACCCCCCGAAAAGAAAAAAAAATTACAAATGAACAACAACAACAATACCAAAAAAATTTGTGTTGTGATAACAAAAATATTGTACAGCATTAAACTTAAAATTTATTATATATAATTGACATTAAGATGAATGAGCCATAGCCGTAACAGTGATAATTTGAGGTACTATCTGTGCAAGAGAGTGACGTATTGACTTCATTAGTTAGTTAAAATTGTTACGGCTTAACCGACTTCAGACAGCGTAAAAGATTAAGCCACTTATAACAAATACATTAGCAAAATACATTAGTTTCCGTCTTGACTTAAAAGCGTTTACATGTTTTGACCGATATATCTGTATAAAACTGTTAAAGAGGACAAATTAATGCGTCCTTTTAAACACATTTTTTTAATCAGTGCGATACAATCAAAATACTTTATTTAAACATAACATTAGCACTTAACTTGTTAACAATTCGATGATAGAAGGATAAAAATCCTGACTAATGTGATTTTCCGATATATATTTGAGTATGATGGATGTTCCTTGTCAATAGATTGCGAAGAAGCATTTGTTTATGTCATCTCTTTAAAAAAAAGTTATTAGTTGATTAAAACTATCTAGGTGACAAAGCTTTTATACATTTTTGTCTTCATATAAAATAAAAGGAAGTAAGTAACATAGAGCAATACTAATAATTTTTTTTATAACATAATGCTTATTGTATTTTTGCAGTAACTTTATTTCAAAAGATGCATGGATCGCATCAAATTGTACGAATGTATCATTAACGTGTATTTTAAATCGGTATGAAAGAAAAGACTGTTAGAGACAAAGATTGAAGAGAAAGTGTTTTATATAAGAGAAAATGAATCAGAATGATATTATAAAATCTTTTACATACATTTTAATTGTTGGTAGGGATATAAAGCTTTTAACATAAGTTAATAACGACGTAACAGGTTTATTATTTGCTGCAAAGTTTATTTTCTACTGTTAATATAAAGTTCACGAAAAACAAAAAGGCTCTGCTTCATTGGTTTGCAGGAAGTATTTTTCTTGTTTTGTATTAGGTTTGGCAGGCAGTCCCATCAGTGCACACCCGGTGCCGCATGTGTTGCAGACGACGGACGATTGGTCATCTATCGTGTCACATGGGTATGACGTAAACAGACACGCACTGTTGATTGACTCAATGAAATAATCATATACACGGCGATGGCTGCATATGTCGAAAATGTGTCGAAGTTGTTCTGAAAAATTATTAAATTACCATTTAGATGTATTTCTAAACTTTTATTTCTCAAAACAAAACATATATATGAGTGGAATTTGAAATAAACATTCCAACAAACGAATGTACATAAATGTACTGGTGATTGGAACTTTCAACACATTCTTATTATTATCTTATATTTCACAATTAGAAAGCTTTTGGCTGTGTTATGCTTGTCAAAATAAGGCAAAACCCAAGGTGTACTGCTAAGCATTTATCTATTAATTTTAAGCATATGAGAACAAATGTTCGTCAAAGTAATAAGTAAATTACGTCATATTGTAATAAAAATTCCAATGACTTGCCTATATCACCAAATAGCAAGACCTCCATTACATTAATATTTTCATTAGTGCAACCAATCTGATACTGTCCTCCATTTGGATAAAAGTCAATGTGCCCAACAGGCCTCATCATTCCTAGACCTGCAAGTATGTAAGGAATTGTTCTTTTTGAAACAATCTTCAGGTTATTGATCACATAAAAATATCACGACTAATTTCTGCTTTATACAAACGAGCAATGATCATTTTAGTAATTAGAAACAGTATTCCATGATTTTAGCTAAAGTGTTGCTTCCCAAAAATAGCTTATGACAATTTTCTCATCTCTATTTGAAAACAATACATGTGTATTCGGGAATACACAAATGTATTTGCATCTCAATCAAATAGATTAATACTGTACGTACCAAAAACGAGCTCGGCATCTGTGTGAATGACGTCAACAAACTCGGCATCATTTTGATCTAGACGAACTTTTTTCGGCCAAAATTCGAAGGCAGGGCCTGCTGGATCCATTCCTTGAACAAACAGTACTCAATTATTCAATAGTTTTTTGAGATCTAAATTATCAATTGTAAAAAAGTTAACTAACTATCAAATGAACCAATGGGCAAATAACTAGGTTACTGAATTACGACTGAACGTTTTTATGCAATCTAATATCTAAGAAAATGTGAAATAATGTGAAGTTAATGCTTTACTTTTTATGTAGTGTATTTTGAAAGACAATATATGTCTTAGAACCAAATTGAAATAAATCATAAGGTTTTCATGGACAAATTGAAGATTACTTTAATACACCGTAAATATGCCATTACATACATATACATTCTAGTCATGCTCTGTAATGGTCAGTTACCGTTGTTAAAAACGAACATGCATCAAATATTCAGATATGTATATGGTTGATATTACCTGTTATTCGGCTGATTCCCGGTATAATCTTCCCGACATATCCCGCTATATGTGCACCTAAGCTATGTCCAATAATGTGAACGCTTCCGGGCATGATATGTGCAACCTCTTTTACGGCATTTAGAAGGCGCGCAATTTCCGCTCCGACCAGGCGTGTGTCTGCTACAGCTTGAAAATAATTTAGTTCTTCCGCACCTTTGGTCCAATCCACAGTAATGACGTAATAGTCACGCTTTATATAATAATAATAATAATAATGATCACATACCCGTGCCAATTTTGCGACTATGTAAAAAGGGTATTGCACGGCCGTGCATATATTTTGACGTGACGTCATTAGCGTTATACAAACATAGTGTAAAGATCCGCTAAATGTTAACATTATACTATAGGCGGGTCAATGAAAAATGACTCTTTTTTCACTTTAAACAGTCTTTATTTTGGGTATGTGATAAATAGAATATAAAATTCGTGTAAGTTCTATACTGAATTCAATTAATTCGTTGAATAAAACAATATTATGCTCGCCAGAGGCTCGAATAATATAATTTTATTCAACTAATAATAATAATAATAATAATAACAACAACACCAACGACAACGGCGACGGAAAAACAGGAGCAAACATTACACTGATATCTTATATATAGTTGTCCTCGGTAATATTTAGTTTCAGGTACATGTTGAGCCATCAGATAGCCCAAATCTGATTTTTTTCAAAGTTGCTCACTTTTGGGTATTTGTTTTGAGTATTTTGTATGGTGGCTCGTAAAATATGTCAGTACGACGTTACGGCTTTCAGAAAATTTTCTGTCGAATGAATTCATTTTGGGCGAGAAGTATAGATATATGTATGAATCTGTAGTTTAACATTTATTAGCAAAAGATGTAGATGTTAATTCCTAAAATGTAATAACATTGGTATAATGAAGTAAAATCGTCATTAAAACGAAAACAGGGTCATTGTGATAGACTTACGTATGTTAAAAGCTCCTGTACCATGGTCTGCACCCAGGGTTCCTCTTCGGAACTCATAAACCCATGTACAATAATCTTTAGTTCTTTTTCCACTGCGATATCTTGCACATTTTTATGGTCTATCACTGATGTGAAATCTCGGGTATAGAGAGTGAATTTTGTACCAATAGTTGCAGGGGAGCGTGGCAGAAAATTAAATGAGTTGTAAAACTGCCAGGTTTTATAGAAACATCCTAAATCCTCGTAACAAACATACGGAATCCACCACCAACCTGAAACACAATACACATATTCCTAAAACAAGTGTTTTGAAAGTTAAATCTCTAAAAAGTAAGATCAAGACTAACTTAACATGTTCTATATAATTAAAGTTAGGACGAGCATTTGACTTCACTAGTACGAGATCGTTTCGATATTAAGACTCATATCATACTAATTCTTATTTCTATCTTTATCTAATTAAACTCGACCCGGATTTCGTGATCATCTCTGGGGCTGGACGAGGTAAAAAGGTATTGATTTTTTTGTAGATTCGAATGACAACAATGTATTTTAAGCCCTCAATTGATATTTTAAATTATTCGTCTGCAGAAGATCTGTTTATAGTTTGGCAAAAGAGAAAATTTTACTACAGAATTTAAAACCACTTCAGCAAGAAATTAGATGACATGTTACAAAATTAATAAACAAACAAACAAATATGATTTTAATTAAGTATGACAAATGTAGTATTGAAGTAGTACTTTAAACGTCGACGTTAATAACATACCTTGTGTTGGCCGACACAGTAGTAATATAAATGCCAAACTTGATAACGTTGACATCATTGCTGTTGTTTCTGTATAAAATAGAAAATAAAGATAGAATCCCTAAAGAATGCCCAAAACGGCAAAATTGAAATGATGCAGGCTCTGTTTAATAGAGCCAGTGGACAGTACTGGGCATTGCAAGCTACCGTGTGAATTTAGAAACATTCCCAGATGTATTCATACGGGGGTTGCCATGGAACCTCTAATGTTACACTTTTGTGCCATTTCATGAAAAGCGGCGTATGGTCCCCAAGGAAAAGAATGTGTAGGCCCTAAACGAGAAAACAATGGGCGGAACTAAACAAAATGGAATTTGGAAAGGGGATTAGAGTTTTTGAAATCTGCATATCACAGACAAACGTCTTTATGAAAATACTATAAATACTGTAAATTGCACAAGCGTATAATTTGAAGCCCTCTTCGCAAAGAAAAAAGGGCTAAGGTGGTTCATCCCTGATATATTGGTGTCATATTTAGCGATTTGTCGTGGAAATTACCAATCATTTCAACTTTTAAACACTGGATGCAAATATAGTTGTGTACTTTCATAAAATGAACGTTCGTTTTTTAAAATGTGAAAGTTGTTTATTGTAATAGAATGTGTGTTAAGCGTTCATATAGTGCTAAAGTGTAATTAAAGCACTGTCAGCTTAATATTGACGTGACAACACCAGCTATACATTCCAAGTATCCCAATCATCTTCAAAACATTGTAAAACTGATTAAGATAATCTCTCTTATGTTTAACATAAAAGAGGATCGAGCAGAGGCTTCCGTCGCCGCATTCATGTTATAAAAAATCACAAACAGTATGTGACCATTGCGACCTTTCATTCGATGGAAAGAAAAAATAAAAGCAAAAACATAAAAACAAAACATCGTTCACATAAAGTGACATATACTCATGTTTTTTGTTGTCAAATTGAGTTTACATATTTCAAAAGGTTGGCAATGGTCGTTGATCAAGTATCAATTAAGTAATAATAAAGAAAAAATGTTTTGAAATAATATTAAAACTGCATCATATATAAAAATCTGGAAACAAAGTGATCCATCAGATGCATTAATCACAACAAAATTACAAGAAAACTGCAGACTCAGTTTGATATAAAAAAAGTTTTTTTTAGAAAGTAAAGGTGACCGATATATTCTTAACGATATTGTAGAAAGTATCATGGGTCACGTGAAATTTGCATAGTTATATTAAAAACTTGAACACAATTATGGCAAAATGTAAAGTTAGTTTTACTTTAACATGTGCACTCACTATTTACTTTTGGATGGACATAATATCACTTTGAATATATAATTATTTGTTCCTAAAATCTTAATTATTTCCTTCTCTCGCTTGTTATATAAGTATTGTCGATTCTTTGAGTAAAATAATTTACAGGATGGTCAAACAAAACAATATGGTGATTGCCTCAGCGGGAACTATTATCGCAAAACTTTTTGAGGTTTATAACCGCAAAATAAATGTCAATAATGTCAATTCTTCAAACTCACATAATACAATGATAAATCGAAATGTTGTGTTTTTAACAATATAACATCATTTTTTTTATTCGCTGCTCTAGTGATGAATTGTATAGAATCAAATATACTTCATTGCATCACTAACATTTATCTGACTTCCCTGTAAGACACACCTAACTGACTAATTGGTTAGTATTATGCTAGTATGCCCATAGCGATGTGTAGAACAAAGTGCGTTCGTTAAAAATGACATTATTACGTTTTTACATCATGTTTTAATACTTTTTTTGTAATACCTGTTGGAGCTGAAATAACACTATTAAAAAATGTGCTGCTAGAATTATATACATGTATGTAAAACACCCTATTCTTACTTGATAAATCAATGAAAGATTTGTAAGTCCAATTTGCAGATTTTAAAGCGTCAAATAACACTATCACATTTGAAGTATAGTTTACGCCACTGCTTTACAGTTACATGTAATATAGGGTTTCATTTATAATAATAATATGTACATGTATATTGTAATATTCAATGTTAGAAAATAAACAGGCTAATCAGGCTAATAAAAAAGTAATTAAAAGTATAATAAATATCACGCACTCATTTCAAAAAAAATAAAATAGTGAATTATGCTAATGAAACTATAAAACAATCTGCATAATTAAATTAGCTATGACATTATAAAGTATCCAAGTGTAAATATAGTATAGACTTTATTGAACAAACTGAATTATAACAACGAAAAAGGGATCTCAGAATAGAAAATATCAACTAAAATGTGAGCATATCCTTTATTTTCTATGGGTAGTTGACCAGACCATTATTTTTAAAACAAAACAAACAATGTACATATCTTAATTTATGATAAAATTTTGTGATTAAATCGATCAGACAAACGAACTTATGTAACAATGTGTCATGTTCGTTACTGCAGTTTTGCAAAGATTTCAAATACTAGAAAATATCAATTTTATCTCTCGATAGATACGTGAAGTATTTTGAAGCTCAGAAATTAAAAATAAATATTACAATATTATAGTTTTGTAGTCAATGGTTATTGATTAACAATATAAATATTTGGAGTCATAACTATAAATTTAAGACAAGTCCTTTTCAATGTTAAATAAACTGTATCTAGATAATCTTTTTTTTATTAAATATTTAAATTTCCCGAAACAATGCAATACAGCATGTCGAATTTATTAAATAAGAACAAAATGGCACATATTTGGTCGGAAGTATGCTGATAACGAAAGAAATCAGTTACCTTTGCATGTCATTGATCACGGGAACTATTGTTTACTCTTCGCTACATTCGCTATAAAAGTTAATTATTTTACTACGGACAATGTACCTTTCAGTTAAGTGTCAAGATGATGAACAACATAAATATAGGAATTATTGCAGGAATGACATATCGTTTGATGCGAATTTATGTCTCGCTGGAGGCCACACTGCAGCTTTTATTTTAGAAATACAACCAAAGCTTGCCTTTCATTCAACGAAAAGTTTGTAAATTTGCATCAAGGTACAAAAAAGATTTTTTAATATCAAAAGAAACCTTAACCGTATTATTAAATTAAATTCGCCACATATAATTTGGAGGTTAGATTAACAATAGTCATATAATATTGAAAAGTATGAAAATATATAATTTGAATTTCATTTTCATGTTTTAACAAAAGATGGACATATATAAGAACATATAAGAACATTACATTCAAATCACGTTATATTAAACATATTTAATACAATACCTCATAAATATGACAAATATTTTTAAGAAATGCATATTTTATTATAATACATCAACTTTTTCTTGCTAGATAAACACATTTTGCAAGTTTCACCTAAACAGATTTTTTGGGTGTTGACAGAAGTTTATTGAATTTATTAATATAAGGCCATGTAAAATAATAACTACCTAATATGGTTAAATGTAATTCTCTATAAAAAAAGACAATCTAACAAAAATGATTCAACTTGATTCATATTACATGTTCTACATAATCTCTCGTTCTTTAATCTCCTAGTTATGAACTTCTAAATCTCGCTATCGCTTTCATATGTGCCTCAGCATAAATAATACCTTTTGTAATTTACATTTATTTTTATCTCGATGGAAATATAAAAAATGAGTGTTTCAAATGTTAGATATAATTTAGACATCTGTATCAGGTTGATATAATCGCCCGGAGATATTGTAAAACTTGTCTGAACTTAGTGACTGTTTTCAATCCAATAAGTATGCATTTATACAAGCACGGCCTTATGTCAGTTTATAGAATGTATGTAAGTTAAATCTTCTTGGAGACAGTTAAAAGACAACAACCAAGATGGTATACCTATATCATGATTTGTAAAAGGCCCATTAAAGCGGTTTCCAACTTTCATTTTCTGTCGGAAAAGCAAAATTCTGTGTTATCTCAAACTAACAATTAAACCTTTAAAAAAGCTGCAGACCACTGTAAGCCACAAAATGATATTAGCTTTATTATTTTGGTTCCAAATAATACTTATTGGCCATATTGCTGGACCGTCTATTCCGTCTTTAGTATTTAAACATTTGTAGATTGATAGTGGTATAGTATTTTGCATGGAAGTTAAACTAATGCCACTATGTTTACACTTGCTACTTCTATGGCGTCTTTTTCACATTCGGCGCTATTTTCTTTAGTTGATAATTGTCAAATATGCTCTTAATCCATTGTTAAAAGAGAATTAACACATATTGTCCACTCTGTAAAGGAGAAGATTGTACGTATATCTGAGGGCTTATGTGCCTTTACGTAAGATTCTCTTATTAGAAAAAAAACCAAACAAAAACCTCGACGAGTTCTAATGCCTCAGTTACTTAATTCGACACATTTACATGTTTTAAGTGTTCATCTTTATCATTAGCTAATGCTTTTCTTATGTAGATGACAAAGCATAAATTATCTTGATTTGGTTTTTGAAACATGTTATGTTTTGTTCAATGTTGAAGATCATTTATTATTCAATTTGAATTTGTAACATTTTACATAGCAATGTGTTAAGTTGATGCGTTAAGCAAACAAATGGTTTTGAATTCATTTCAGGTGCACATCTGTGTTATTTTCTTGAGTTTCCATACATTTCTACATTTTGTGTAAGAATCTGTTTGTAAAATATTTCCAGTACAAGCTGAATGTAGTCTGTAGGTCACTGTGTATTTTTATGCACATTTCATGAATGGCAAAATCCTTTTTAAAGTCTTTTTTAGTGCCTACAAAAGCTATTTTTTGCAGAAAATACAAAAAACTTTAAACAACATAAATCTTAGGTAAGTAGTTTATCTGACCTTGAAAAAACATGGCCACCATGACATGTGTAAAAAAGTAGTACCATGAAAATAAACATCATTTACCTATTTCTTGTGTACATGACAAACAGACACACTTCAATGTTACACATAAAAAGGTTAGATTTTAAAGTTTGATTGTGTTTTCATTTTAATTGTAGTTCATAAGGCTATAAGTGATGATTGTTTTCTTGCACTACTTTTTTTACAAAAAATAATGGAGGTCATGTGCTTAGAAGGACATGAGATAAGGATTTATTTGGAGTTAAGTTTTGAAAGATTTTTGTATATTCTGCAAAAAATAGCTTTTGTAGGCACTAAAACAGACTTTAAAAAGGATTTTGCCATTCATGAAAAGTGCTTAAAACTTTGCAACAGAACGTTTTTGGTCTTCAGAAATGTAGCACAATCAAGGTAAATATTCTTATTGTTATCATTTTTATTTTTATTATAATTGTCTTTAACATATAAACCTGGAAGTGTACTTTCAAATGGTTCATCTTTTACAATAAGAGCTTTGTTGTTTTATGAATTTTGGCCTACTTTCACTTTGGACAGACCTTAGTGAAAACAAACATGGCTGACAAAGCGGAATCACCTTAATTTGTGTAGTAATCTTTAAGTATTTCATCACAAAAAATATCAAATCAAGATTTATATATTTTGTCATATAACAAATATCCCTCCGCTAACACACATTTGATAACATTTTGTTTTTTTGCATATTATTGCTATTATCTATGTTACCTGTCTATTATTATGCTAGAAACGTTGTTATAATGTTTAAAGCAAATAAACTGTATTGTATAACTGTATTGTATACGAATTTTAACATTCAAATGAAGAATTGTATAATTAGCTCGTGTATACGCTACGTCTCCATGGTAAAATCAATTGTAACCATGTAAATAACAGCAAATATGAAACAAACTTTTACCGTTTAAGTTTCACGGTGCATTAGTCCTGTCGTTTACAAAAAAGCAATCATCTCAAGATTGATTTTTGTATGAAAACATCCGTTATATAATGCGAAAATATACCGTTAATTCGGACTGCTATTTAAAAATGTTTGTTGATTTTCTATTAATGTACTGATGACCCAAAGGCGGATTTTCTCATGCAAATTGAAATTGTACTTCCGATTTCGCCACAATGAGGTTATAGATTTATTGCTTATAAAACTAATTTTGGTTGTCTTGACACCAAAATTAGAACGGGAGTGGACATGAAACATATTTAATTGACGAAATATAGCTATTTCTTTTTCTATGAAATTTGTATAGTGCAGTTTTAAGAAAACAACAAAAAACCATAACAACACAAAAAAATTCAAACAAAAGAAGAATAAAAATTATCTAATGGTCATGCAGTGGTGCAATTGGCTTCCAAATTAAAATTAAGATTTAAAAATCTGCAAATTGTACAGTAATATATTTCATTCTGGTGATCAATACCAATACAAAAAGAACACGAATGATTCATGATCAATAAAGTCGATTTCAATAACTGTTTCACTCAAGTTTAATGCAATCGATATCTAAAACGTTACAGGTTCTAAATTTTGTTTTTTTTCTGCTTTGTCTTACTGCCCTTCACTATTTTAAATAAGAACAAATAATTACTTATTTTATCACATTAATTACTTTCATTGTTTTACTGTTCAAATTGTCTGGTAATCACTATTATGTAATTAGCAAAAATCATTATTGTATTATCTCACATTAGATTTTCTTTCATTTATTTATTTACTTCCACAAATTAAATTATACCAATGATCAAGTGTTGTTTCTTCTATATTTAACAGAAATGTTGTTTTCATTGCCATTTACAAAAAATATTAACCAAATTGAATGTGATCATCAAAGTTATCAACGTCTTATTTTAGGAGAATACAAAGTGGCATATTTAAAACAGATCTGTTGTTTTAAGTTATGAAGTTGAGCTTTCCTCTGAGATTATTAAAACTATACGATTCTTTACTGCCGCTAAAAGGGAAATATTTGATTGGATTTAGCTGTTCACCTATTTTCCCCTGAAGGTGTTGTTTATTTTCATGCTCTTCATCAGGAGATATACACGGAGTATATGATAAATTTATTTCATCTCTGTACAAAGACTTTGGTAATTTTGTTGACCCAAACACTGGAATTTTCAGATTCA